TGACCGTTAAGGTAATGAAGCAAAAGGATAAAGCATTTGCCGTTGATCAATCCTTTTTGGGATGCGGCACGCATTCTACTTCCATTTGTACATTCGCAGTGGTTTGAATGCGATGTGGCCTATACAATGACTTGCGGGGGCCAGCCGATGTTCAAGTCAGTGTTTTTATCCTCCCAGACAAGTCTGGTACCAATTAACCGACCCCGGGGGATGGAAGGCTTGGTTGGCCCGGGCGACTCACGACCCAGGATTTGATCCCCGGACCGCTCGCGTGGTGAGCGTGCCACTTGCCACTACACCACTTCCGCCCTTTATCCGTAAGACACATACACTGCGTAAACCAGCCCCGACGATGTTGACCATGTTGTTATTTTGAAAACTATTATTTCAAAAACTTGAAAAAAATGAATGGGAAATATATGAAGTGAACTGAGATGGAGAGAAACCAAGAAACTGAATTCAAAACCGTGAACAAATAAAAGAGACGAAGACAGCGCAGTGATTAAGGGGTCGCAGCTGCCCAAACCCCCGCGGATTTAATCCTCCTTAGGCCAAATAGTAAGTTCATCTTTTCGGAGCTCTTTGATCGACATCGGGATAATCTGCCAAAATAAATTAAAGTATCAAATAAACTGTCATCACACAGGCTGCAGCCGAGCAGTAATTAGCTGTGTGTCCTTTCAATTTTCACGTATCAAAAGTCGAATAAGGCTTGTAAATTTTGAACCACAATTTTAGAAACTCTGAATTTTTTTGTCAACAAAAGATCCCTTTATAGCGATCCATCATCGGAATGTACTTCTTCTTACTCTTTTCCGTTTACTTGATTTTTAAGGCCAAAAGGCTGAAGTTCTTTGAGCTGATCAGTCCCTCTGGGTTGCGCCACTCTTTCGACTTCTATTTAAAATCGTACAGCAGTTGGAGTTGGAATGGGGTCGTGTTTTTGACTCTATTGATACAATTGATGAGTGCTACTTTGTTCACTAGTTTCTGCCACTCTCTCATTTCCCAATTTGTTCCGAGTGCTGGGGTCGCCAAATCGAGCATTTCGCCTCCCTCGTTACCTTCAAGTTGTGGAGGCTAAAGTTCAACGGTTACTCAGATGTGGGAATCATCTACGTAATCCATGTCGTGACTTGTCGGTGGTTCGGTCACGACACAAGGGGGACTCCCACCCCACCTCCCGTCCTACCCTACCCGACCCCGTGCTTCGAGTGAATGACCCGGCAACCGAACCGAATAGTTGTAAAAATAAGCATTGGAAATACCTTTTGCCATTTATAAAAACACCTTATTGACTAAGCCTTCATGTATTCAACGAACACATTGACAATATAAAAATGTGACGAATACCTACTTTCAAGATAACAGAGCGATAGGATGAGCCCGGTCGAAACGCTGAGGACGAGCAGGGTAGTCGGAAGGAGAGGGGGGAGTCGGCCGTCCGGGACGCCGGAGACGAGACGAATGAAAAAATGAATGTTGTTTGTGGAAGCGCGCGAAAAGGGTTTTGGCGCTCATTGACATGGCTTGACACGTTTGACATGTTGAGTCCACATTGGCCCTGGAGCACGCTATTTTCTTCTTGTCGACCAGAGGGAGGTCGGTCACGACAATCCACACTACCTCTATCTCTCACGCCTCCTTAAAAAGAAATTAGCGAAACTCAATCTTAAACACGAAGAATATATTGCTTCATCCAAAAACACGAAAAGATTTTGGAGTTACTGTAATGCTAGATTGAAAGACTCCTCTTCAATTGGAACTATCATAGACTCTTCCGGATCGGTATGCTCATTTGACCATGAGAAAGTTGATGTTTTTGCAAAATATTTTGAAACGTTTTATAAGAAGTGTGCTACCCTTACTTCTGACGATGTGGTTCGGCCACAACATACACTAGATTGGGTGGATTTTCATTATGAAAACGTTTTTCGCGTCCTGAAGAAGCTTCCTCTTCGATGCTCTACATCACCGGATGGCCTACCTTACATATTTCTCAAAAAAGCCGCAGAAGGCATCACCCCCGCCCTCACACCATCTACACTTTTCAACAGAATACTCTTGAAAGGAACAGTACCTGCAATCTGGCGGTTAGGACTGGTAAGGCCAAGCCAATACCATAAAAGGAAGTAAAAGCGATTTTAGGAATTACAGGCCTGTGTGTCTCACTTCGTCAGTCAGTAAGGTAATGGAAAGAATGGTGTGTGAAAGAATAAGGAGTTTCCTCATATCGAACCAGCTTCTGTCTTCTTGTCAGCATGGATTCCTCCCAAAAAAGTCTACCGCTTCCGCGCTTCTTTCCACTATTCCAGCCTGGCAGTACGCTATAGACAAAAAGAATTCTGTCTTTGCCGCATACATTGATTTTTCTAAAGCATTCGATTCTATTCCTTTACATCTCTGTACTTAACCCAAAACGGACGGCCAGTGTATTTGTTGCGTGCGCCACACATGTGGCCATGGCCACGCCGCCACCCAGGGTTTATGTAGGCTTATGTGAACAGCAGGGGTAAGACGGGGCTAAAGTAGGTGTCGGAGTCTCATCATCCGAAAAAAGAGATTTCCGTTGACGACAAGTTCGTAGCCCGCCTTTCCGCTCTAAAACTAGGGTGCAAAGAATGAATGGAAGCTGTAGGTGACATTATCGAAAAATGCGAAACAACAACCCCGAGCAAGGATGTGGCTATATTTAGGGGAAAGGGGTCTCGGGACGTGCGAACCATGGGTAAGCCACCCATCAAATAATAAATTAAGATAAAATGTATGTAAAATTTATTGTAGGTTTGTCAAAAATCCAGCCGTTCAGGTCCTGGGAAGATATGTTATTCCACATTGCTGAGAGTATATATGGGTATATTAAGATTGCTAGAAACATTCCAAAAACA